CCAAATATCAACCGATTTGAGAGTCTACACAGACCCCACTTGGACGGGTGAAAATATCAAATTCGCGAGAAGCAGTTTCACATGTGACAGTCAGAATCAATCATGAGCCTCCTCGTACCGTAGACTGTCGATCTAGAACCACCTCGCCTCGATTAGCTTGCCCAAATGTTTCGCGTCAACGGTGTCTAATCCATCCTTGGCACATATCGGCAGTGATTACCAAAGGACACCACTGCTACCGTCTTCCTCCGAACACAACGCCCCCTTATTTTGGCAGTATCTGGCCGGAAATATAGCTTGTATACATTCATTTTTAGGGTGCGTTATGTTCGGCGGAAGACGGTAGGAACTCGAACGAGTAAGACACGTGTGTGGAAGCTCGACAGGACGAAGCACGCAAGTGGCGCCATCAAGCACATGAGAGCGGGACGCACATGAGAGCAGATAGGCTACAGCACGCAGGTGAAAGCAGATAGGCTAGAACACGCAGGTGAAAGCACGCAAGTGAGAGAGCACACAAGGGAGAGTACATGGTGCACGCAGCACGCAGCTGAGAGCAGGACGCACGGTTTTCTGTGGGCCCGACGAAATTATGCTTGCTTTCGGCGGGCTAAATTGCTCCGTGGCTTGATGTAGTACATAGTGAGCCCGCCCGTGCAACCTACCTACTACAACACCTGTCCATATCGATTCAGTGGATGTCCAATTTTTATTCTACCCGTCCAAGCAGCTTTTCTACAATGCTCTAAATCGCTTCGGGGTTTCCCTAACTTATGTGCGATTTTCTAAATTGAAAAAAAAAGAAAAAAAGATCTTGACTTTGGCGGGAGGCCAGTAGGCCCCAGGCCCATTTCGGTTCGCATATGACCAAATAGCGGCAATAAGTATCTAACGAATTTACCTGGTCAAAAAAGTACTGTATTCAATCGTCGACATATATTATAACACCATATATTATAACACTCAACCTGTCATCCACGTGGTTGGCCTTGTACGTAAGAGGTGATGATACGGGTGGGGTTTTTTCCTTCCTTACTTCTTTTCCTTTCCTTGTTTTGATTTTTTTCGCCTTCGCGCTCTGATTCACAGTGTGACAATATATATGACTAAAGAAAGAAGAGTGATCGGCGCGTGAATGTTGAAATTTAGGCCATTAAAAAATAGAATAAATTTATTTGGAACAAAACCCCGAAAAAAAAAATGGATCAAAGTTTATCAAACCTGAAAAAAAAAAAAAAAAAAAAAAAAAAAAAAAAAAAAAAAAAAAAAAAAAAAAAAAAAAAAAAAAAAAAAAAAAAAAAAAAAAAAAAAAATAACAGCGGTAAAAAAAAAACGAAAAGTTCAAAAACACCCAAAAAAAAAAAGGACACCGGAGGCCGAAAAAAAACGAAAACGAGTTTTTCAAAAATTGGAAACAAGAGGCCGAAAACGAGCGATTGAACTTGCAAACGAAGGGAAAGAAAATCAATTAATTAAATTACAAAAATAAAAATAAAATGGGAAGGAAAAGAACGGAGTGCGGAAAGGAAATGTGGAAGACGACGACGGCCATGAAACGGACGGGACAAGCAACCATTTTTTTTATTTTTTTTAACTACAATACATATACATTCTTCTCTCAAATACTTTTTTTTGCCTTACACTACCTACCTACCACTACTGCTCTCAAGTAGAGGGGACCCCTGCAAGCATAGCTACCTCACAATGTGAAGGGATTACTGCACGCTTGAATGAGAATTAAAAAATTATTATAAAATACCGAAATACGAATCCCGCCTCTTAGCCGCGATCTTTTTTCTTTTCTTCCTCTTTTTTTCTTTTTTTTTTAACCGATTCATTCTGGGAAACATCAGCCCCATTCCCTATTCCACCGGCAAGTCAGAGTCAGAAAAATATATTTTTTTTTATCAATTTATCACATAATACTCCTTTTTTGGGGGCAGTTAACTTTTGACGTTCCTGGCCGCAATTTCGGCCTTTTTCTGCACCGAACTCGCCAGGGTTTCCCGGGTCCCCTTTGAATGAGAATTAAAAAATTATTATTATAAAATACCAAAATACGAATCCCGTCTCTTATAACCGCGATCTTCTCTCTTTTCTTCCTCTTTTTTTTTTCCCAACCGGGTCCGTATAGACCGTATAGGCCGGACTCCGTGTTCATTCCGGGGAGCATCAGAGCCCCATCCGCTATTCCACCACCGGCAATTCACAAAAATTTATCAAAAATATATATTTTTTATCAATTTATCACATAATACCCCTTTTTTGGGGCCAGTTAACTTTTGACGTTCCTGCCCGCAATTTCGGCCTTTTCTGCACCGAACCCGGTTTTAAAAAAAAAACACCAGGAACGTCCAAGTTTTAAAAACACAACGCCAGGAATTTCCAAGTCAAAAGCCCACGCGAATCGTCCCCTCATTGCACCGGCGACCCGCGATATTCGCTGCACAAAAGGGAAAGAAGGATCTACCGTATACCAAAAACCATAATAATAATTTTAAATAACAATAAAATAATAATAATCTAACTTTATCTAACACTACAATTTATTTATTTTTAATTGCTTTCATTAATATAAAAAAAAACACTACAATTTAATTATTAATAAATAATAATAATAATTAATAACACTGATTAAGAAAAAAACGAATGAAATACGCATAAAAGAATAAGAGGATTCTGCGGTGGGTAAGTTTAATGATAATATCTCAACGTCGTCGCATTTTTTTGGGAAAAAAAAAGGGGGGGGGGGGGSGGRGGGAGAAGAAAAAGACATGCAGTGCCTTCCACAATAAGAGGGCAAAAGAAGAATCTATCAATAGATTCAATACACATAATATATATTGTCACCGTAAATCAGAGCGCAAAGGCGGAAAAAGACAGAACAAGAAAAGAAAAAAAGAAGAAGGAAAGCCCCACCTGTTCATCACCTCTTACGTACAAGGCCAGCCACGTGGATGACAGGTTGAGCGCTGGCTGCCCCCATCCCCGTGTGTCACAAGGACCCACTTGCACGCAGCCAAAAGGCAAAAAAGAGGTCAAGAAAAGGAGGAGAAAACCTCCCACAGATAATCCAATTGTCACAAAGCAAACATATATATATATACTAGTCTAAAAATAAGATTGATGATACCAAAAATCTTCGGAAAACGCGGAAACAGAAGAAAGAGAAGAAAAAGCGAAAAGAGAAGAAAGCGAAGAAAGCGAAGAAAGAGAAGAAAGAGACTAGAGAACAGCGAGCAGCAAAGGTCAATCCTGCGCATGCGCACATCCATGGGTACATCAGTACCGCTCCTGCACCTCCCATCAACCATCGCTCACAACTCGCTCGATTGGACATTCATCGAAGCCGCCATCATCGACCAGAAGGCGAAGAGCACACAGGACGACGAGGAAGAAACGAGGAGAAAGAAAGAAAAGGAAAGAGGAAGAATAATCAGACGCCAAGCAGTTGTCTTTCACACATGTAATAGAAAAGGAAAGAGGAAGAAGAGAAAGGGAGGAGGAGAAGAAGAGAAAAGGAAAGAGGAAGAATAATGACAAACAGGGACCGACAGAGGAAAGTCAGTCAGGACCGACAGATGGAAATAATCAAAAAGGGAGGAGGAGAAGAAGAGAAAAGGAAAGAGGAAGAATAATGACAAACAGACGCCAAGCAGTTGTCTTTCACACATGTAATAGAAATAGCAAAGTCAGTCAGGACCGACAGATGCCCAACACAAAGCCGCGCTTACGCAGCCAAAATATATGTGAAAAACGATCTCTAAAAAATCCACAGACTACAACAATGAAGCACATTCCATAGCTTTAGCTATGGCACCGCCGTCATCACGACCGAGGAGCTGCCATCCCCGACTAGTTTCGGGCGCCGACAGTTAGCGACCTGATCAGGGGGCGTTTCCAGATGCTTCACCAGCTTCGCCCCTACCAAGTCCAAGAAGAATAGTGAAAACAGCCGCCCTATATATAGACTGCTTCTCGCACACGCTTCATAACAGATAGAATAACATCACATCTCCGCATGCCAGTTCTCAGTAGGAAAAAACGCGCATTTTCCCCGACGCTTTTTTTCCGCCAGGCTGCGTGCGCTCCTGGCAGTCACTCCTCAGGGGGCTTCTCCCAACATCGCCTTACGGCACCACAAACTTTCCCGAAGAAGAAGAAGAAGAAGAAGAATAGTGGAAACAGTGGCCAACTGCCTTTCGTACACGCATCAAGAGCTCTTCATTACAAAGCCGCGCATACTCATCTCAGCTCTCGCGCACAATCCCCGACGCGTTTCGATCGGTTGCGCTCCGATCATCCTCAGGGGGCTAACCTCATGACCCCGCCTTGCGGCCCAACCGTCTATCCCCCCGTCTTAAGAAGAGAAGAAGAAAAGAAGAAGAGAAGAAGAAGAGAATAAGAATACTGAATAGGGAAGACACAGTGGCCATAGTCACAAACAGTGGCCAGAGTCACAAACAGTGGCCAGAGTCACAAACAGTGGGCAGACTGCTTTCGATACACGCTTTTAAACTGTTCGGTTCAATTTCTCTTTGAAAGTGGAAAGGAAAATCCCTCTCTTCTCTTTTCCCGCTCCTTCTTTTGCCACTGTTTTCACTAATATCTCTGTGTTCTCTTTTTTCCCTTTTCTTCGATGGCCGCTGTTTTCGCTATGTACTGAAAAAAACAGTGGCCATAGAAAAGAAAAAGGGAAAAAAAAAAGAGAACAGAGATATTTTCGATTCAACTCCAAAGAAAACAAGAATGGTGAGAGCAGTGGCCGACCATGGACTGCTTCTCGGACACGCTTCAATCAGATAAACATTACATCTCCGCAAGCACGCAAAAAAAAAAAAAAAAAAAAAAAGAAGAGTGATAAGTTTACGAAAAACAGTCAAAAAAAGACGACGAAAGCCGACTCACTCAACAAGGGAAGAGAAACGAAAGAGAGAAAGAAAGAGGAGGAAAGAGAAAGAATAATAGGGATATATATAGCGGGAATGAAAATTGCTTGCCATGTAAAGTTTGCTTGCGCCTCTGCATTTGAGGAGAAGATCATGACAGCTGACCAACGCACGACCCAACTGCTCCACGTATCCCAAAACATCCACTGGCGCGCAAACCAACTGGCAATAACCTTCCTGCAGCCCAGCTTTCACGGAGTCCACATAGTCACATATATCATCCACTCGACTTGCCAGCAGACGAGCATTATTAGTAAATACCACGCTCTGATGCCCAGCCTCGTTCACCAGCTCCCTCAAACTCGCTACCCGCGCTAGAGACGGCAAGGCCACGACTAACGCCATTCCCGCCATCTTCTCCCTCTCTCTCTCTCTCTCTCTCTCTCTCTCTCTCTCTCTCTCTCTCTCTCTCTCTCTCTCTCTCTNCTCTCTCTCTCTCTCTCTCTCTCTCTCTCTCTCTCTCTCTCTCTCTCTCTCTCTCTCTCTCTCTCGCTCGCTCGCTCGCTCGCTCTCGCGCGCGCGCGCAAACCTCTTCCTTCTTTTCCCCCCCTCCCGCAAATATCGTCCGAGTTCGTGATCAATATCACCACCTCCTCCTCCTCCTCCTTAAGCCTCCCCTCCTCCTCCCCTTAATGTCTCCCACCACCACCACCACCCCCTCGCCGCCGCCTTTCGTTTCCTCAAAAAAAACACGCAACAAACAAATAAAAATGAAAACGAACATGCAAAAAAGAGACAACAACAATAATGACTACCTACCTCCTGACCTCTGGCGTCCCGATCTCGACGAGATCTCCGCGCCGGCACACCCACCTCCCAGTGCCCCAAACCCCGTCCAGATTCATCCAACAAAATGAAATTGCCCCCCCTCTCTCCCGCCCTACCCCCTCCACCTCCACCTCCCTTCCCCAGAAAACACGATGGCGGGGAAATCGCAGCTGAAATGGCGGGAAAAAAGGCGGCGCCTTTTCCCCTTCTTCTTCCAGCCGACAAATCGGTTTCCCCCCCCTATCCTATTGGCGGGAAACATGTCAATTAGCCGACTCGCTGTGACAGGAGGTCGAGGACCAAACCCCAGGTTGCAGGTTCGAGCCTCCGCGGAGGCTATCCTTCGTCTCTGTTCAAGCTGGCTGCTGCTTCTGCACTGGCCGGCGAGGGATGGGGAGGGAGTGACCAAAAAAAAAAAAAAAAAAAAAAAGCCGGCGAATATAACAAGGTATTTTCACAACCGCCTTTTTCACTTTTCTGCTCCAAAATAACTTCTCTTCCGTTCTCTTCTCTTCTCTTCTCTTTCCCCCCCTCCCAAAAAAAAAAGAAAAAAAAAAAACTTCCTCCCGTTGCGCTCTCCTTCACTCCCCCCCCCCTTCCTTCCTTCCTTCCTCGCTACCGAACTGGGAACTTCGTTCGTCCTCCGCAGGCTGACATTCTTCTTGAGAAGGGAGGGGGTGAGGGAAGGGGGGGGAATGAATAATATCAACAATGCGCAGAATCAGCCATCACGCCAAGACGAGACGTGGCGAAGAGAGAGAGACAGCATGAAGACACGTGGCAAAGAGAGAGAGAGAGAGAGAGACAGACAGCATGAAGACTCGTGGCGAAGAGCGAGGCATCAAAAACGCACGTGGAAAAAGGAAGTTGAACCCTCAACGCAGCAAAGAGATGAAGGACACGTGGCAAGGAGAGACAACATGAACGCACATGGAGAAAGGGATTCTCAACCTCAACCTGCTAAAGCGATGAAGACAAGTGGCAAAGACAGAGACCATGGAGACACGTGGCAAAGAGAGACAGCAAGACGACACAACGTGGCGAAGACGACGGTGTTAACCCCTCTCTACCGTGAGGATAAGGAACTGAGAGAAAGAGAGAGGGAGAGAGAGGGACGAGCATCTGAGAGGTGGCTACCATGCTGCTGCTGCTGCTGCTGCTGCTCCTGCTGCTGCTGACCGCTTCCCCGCAAACCCCATTGATTGCCACGTGGAGGGGAAATTCCCACGTAAAGGCGCTGCCGCCACGTGGTCCTGTTTCGATCCTGGGGACAATTTAAGGGAAAAGAAAAGGAAAAGGAAATCGACAGAAGAAAAAGAAAATATTAAGAAACAACGCCAGATGCAAAGAAGAAAGATGGTGCAGTGGCTTCCATGAGAGAAAATGAATTCTATTCCCCTCAACGTCGAACCCTCATCATCACCCTTCCAGGACACAAAATAAATCCACTCTCATCGCACTGCTTCTCATTTTCCGGGTTCCTACCCCTCAACCGCGGCAGCTGTTTGCCTGTAAGAGAAAGGGAGAGAGAGA